GCATGATCACTGCAGCCCAGGCTGCCTCCGATCTTGACATCTCTGACGAGCTCGCTTGCATTGGTGACCACCAGGTCCAGTATCGCATCCCCTCGGGTAGGGGTGTCTATTACCTGGCTTAAGAAGTCTGATCAGCATCCAGGCATATGTTGAATGGTGGATGAACTTTCTTACTGGTGGCACAGAACTCATGAACTATATGTGATATATCCACAATAACCATAATTGTTCAACACTGAGTTCTATTTATTTTGACACTTAACAGGAATCCTGTCTGATATTATGTAAATCACATGTCATTTTCATGATATGGTAGCCTGCCCTTTTGATCTGGAGAAGAAAAGAGACTGAAGTCCTAGATGTTTTTTATCATACCTGCCCAGTATTAGTCTGTACTGCCTTTCCTGGTAAATACAGTGATTCACTATATTTATTATTCTTTTTTTCCTCAGCGTTCTCATGTTCCATAGAGACAGTATTTCCTCTAATATTTTAGCAGACCCTTTATTTTTGAACTTAGATGGTGATGTTTATATTACCATGGGAAAACAAAAATGGAAAACCAGGTGTCAGGTTCATGCTGTGGCTTATATGTTATATGCAACACTTATCCATATTAATCTGTTTAGGTTAATCTAAAAAAAGAAGTTACTTGGGTAGGGACTGGAGGCATAAAATATGGATAAACTATTCAAATGATCATTTCGGGTACTTTATCCTGGGAATTAGATTGGAAATCTTATACGAGTAGACTATCTTTAAGCTTAGCCTATGAAAATGTAATCATATTTGCTCACTCCAAGTTATTTTATTTTAATGCTTGTTCAGTTTAACTAGAAAGTTTTGAAGTCAGAGGCTAAGGGTTACTATATAGTCATATAACATCAAACATGTCCCATCCTGGATGAGTCATTTTGCATTTTGAGCGTATTAAGGGTGGGTAAGAATAAATGGTAAACATTTTTGTGTTCAAGCAACTTTTTGTACACTTCAGTGCCTATTTATGATAAGAAAGTCATCAACCTGACTTACAAATAAGGAAACCAAAATGTTAAATGGCTGGGATGGAGTTACAAAAAATATTTTTAAAGCTTGGAGAAGAATTTGACTTTTGGGCTCCTCCCACTGTCCTTGAATTACTTTGCAACATCTTTCTTCTATGCTCCCAAACCCTCAAATCGGTCATGAACACATGCACGCCTTACTTATTCCAGATTTGGATTCCCTTTGTGAAAGGAGGGAACCTCCACTGCTTCAGACAATTTATTTTCTTTAAGAAAATTAGTTCCAGTTGTGTGACAATAGAGAGGGAACACGAGAAACTTAGCATGTTCCCAAGGAGCTCCTGATACTGTTTTCAAAAACACATACTTACTGCTATTGACCGTGTGAATCCAATTACACCATGCTTTGTAGCACAGTACACAGGTTGGAATGCAGCAGGCATGAGTCCTTTAAAATAAAAAAGTAGCTGAATAAAGATGTTGGGTACTCCTATATATGATTACCGTAAACACACATATAGGTCTATAATGTAAAAAATAAGTGATGGATTTATAGAGATGCAACAAAATAGATTAGTAAAAATTTGCAAATTATATTTTGTAATCTGAGGTAGGCTGGGAAAAGTTATGAGAAGGATAAAAACTTGAAGAGGCAAAAGAAGAGTAATAAAAAAAAGCGTAACTTTTAAGACGAAAAGTTGTATCTATGAAGTATGACTTAAAATGGGGGAACCAGAAGAAAACACTCAAGGATGAGATTTTTGAGCCGCCCTCTATGAATCTGTGAAGTATTTAAAGTATGTAAAGTATTTTAGATAAATTTTAATTGCTGACACCCTAGCTGCTGATATGTAAACTGGACACCTGCAATTATTTACAGTGATTTCAGGGAGGAAGCATGGGAAAAGGTAAGGGAAATAACAAAATCCATTTTGACTACTGCAACTGATTTAATATTATCTTTGTAATATATCAAAACATAAATATAATGTCTGACTTAAATTCCTTGCTTGTGTTGCTTCTGTGGAATAGTAACAAAATTCAGCCTCAGATAAAACTTTTCCCCTAGCCCTAATGCAAGAGAGAAGAATGAGTGCTGCACAGCTGACTGAAGCGCAGTCAGCCAGTGCATCTGCCTGTGCAATATTGTTGCTGCTTATTTATTTGACAAGGTGGTTAGTACTATAACAAATACATACTCTTGGATCATGTTTTTTGCTCAAAGGAGCAACTATAAACAAAATAATTCAGTCTTGACACACCATCTGAGGTATTGTAAAATTTACTTACAAGACTACTCTGGTAGTATTTCTTAAGTAATTTTTTTTTTAAAGAGATTTAAATGAAGTAGGGAAGCTATTTTGCAATAAGCAAATGGAAAAAACACTAAGACGCGAATGCAGGAACTCAGTGCCAAGAGAGCAGAGGTAAGTGAGTAAATATTGTGAATGGAATGGTAAGATGAAGACCTCAGATAGTGAACAGAAAGAAATGAAAGCAGAGATGTGGATAGGAAAGATTTTTGAAGCATTTTCTAAATTGAAATAGATTGGCTGAAAAGGATTTTGTGGTATGGTACCTCCTACAGTGGGCCCTGTTCTGGAATGAAAAGCCAGGGTGAAGATTTTTAGAAGGGAACAGGAAAAAAAGAGGTAATAACCCTGGGTAATATCATTGCTGTCCTCTGTAAGGAAAATGAGAAGCAAAATGAAAAATGACTGCTAACATTGTGAACCTTTATGGGGGGAGTGGGAGAGCACAAAATCATTATTTATAGTAGAGAAAGAAGAGAGAATAGAGATTTTGGAGGAAAATTAAGAACTTAATTCTAGTAGGACTGAGTTTGATGGCAAAAAGCTAGTCAAGAAGAGATGACAGACTATGTGCATATATCCATTTCTGCCCGTTATGCCAAAAATTTCCACTATATGACAGCTGAATTGGACCACATGGATGCTGCAGTTCCACCTGAAAGCTAGGGTCTTGTGAATAGCAAACCACAGCCTGTCCTCAAGTTAGAAAATAAAATTTGTCTGTGTTCTTGAATGTGGTATTGTGAAACTGGATACTGATTTTGATGCGTTAGTGTTTGATTCTAATGGAAGTCATCCCATTTAATACCTCAGAGATGTTTTTTAATTTTTGATATTTCATATCTTTAATCAAGAAAGGGTGTGCCTTATCTCAGTGGAGAAGAAGAATGAGTGAGTGGCTGTGTGGTGCTTAGTTGCCGGCCGGGGTTAAACCACAACTACCCATCTTTAAGTATGGATTTGTCAGAAAAGTTATGTATGCCAGAGACTTGCACGGGGTCTTTGTTCGGGAACCCATTTTGTCTGAAGGAAAAAAAATCTTTCTAATATGGCACAAAGCTCTAATTACAACTGTGACAGCTTCAAGTTTTATCTTGGTTTAAATGTTACACTAGTGGTCCAGTGAAAGCAGCACTGTCATTAGCACTGTTCAGTGGTGGGAAATGAAGAACTTAACCTAGTGGCTGGTTGTTCTCTTAAACTTGTATTTATCTACTTAGCTTGGATTAATGTGTTATGCTTCTGATTGAGAACTTGCCTTATGAAAAACGTTTTTCGTGTTGTCTCCTCTGGGTTGTGATCACAACACAGGCTAAGTATTCATCTCTTTGGTGACTTTTGAACTCCTGAGTATTTTTCCATGTTTTAAAGAAAAAAACAATCCCATGAGGCTGCAGCTAACAGACATACAAATGACAAAGTCTACTGGGAAACACAGAGGAGAAATTTTAGGGTTTTTTAAAATATATAGTAAGACAAATTACTTGTTACTTGAGAGGAAAGAGAAACGAAGTCAAGAAATAAACAAAGGAAGGGCACAGCTTACAATAATGAAGTGGAATAAGGTTCAAAGACTTGAGAAGGGAGGAACAAATAACTTAATTTTTTTTTTTTTAATCAAAGCATTAAAATCAGTTCTTTCCTAACTGAAATTATTATTTTTGCTGAAATGGACAACTAAGAAGAAATGGGTTGACTCACTTTCGGCCAAAGTGGTGACAATGAAAACTAGTCCTAGCATCCCTCACCCAAAACAATGACAGTCCTGTCTCACTCTTGTTCCTGAGTTTGGTACCCAGACCCAAGGTGTGGGATTTCTAGCTCTGAGCCACTCACCTGCCCCGGGAAGTGCTGAGCCTCTGTCTGTTAACCTAGGGACTCTGCTAGCAAGTATGTTGGGATGAACCTCTCTGTGACATTGATCCTACTCTGCCTGAGTATTTATTCAACCAGTGAGCAAAGATAAGTGCACAGCATATTAGTCAAGGCATTCATTTTTTAGAAAATCTGGATTCTATTTGCTGCTCCCAAGAGCAATTTAATCGTCTTATGAAAGTGGAATGGCGGTGAGACAGACTGGAGAACATTATGCACAAAATAAGGGGGTGAGGAATAGATGATGGTGGAGCAGTGTACTCCTGCAAAGTGATACATGTGGTTTTCAGTCTCTCTTAGCAAGGGGAGGCAACTATGCCTGAATTTTCCTCTCTCTGGATGTTGCTGCATCACTGAACTCTTACATGAAAGGGGACAGGGAATTTCCTTCTCCCCTCAAGTGATCTTCATTGAGAACTAGTCACTGATTTGCAAATTAATTCATGATGACTGAAGGTGCCCTTTGGGTTACCAAAACCAATTCAGGCAGATCAGCAGTAATCCTGTGCAGCGGTGTTACCTGTGCTCTTTTTCAGTTTTCTCAGTTCCTGGCAGGCTGAGAAAGACAGGTCTTGCCCTTGGTTATACACTAGCCCTCTTGTTGCTTCAGTGTTGAGACCAGTCTACCATTTGAGATGTGGTGTCAGGCTTCTCATTACAACTGCTTATTCATCATGGTCAATAGTTTCAATATCCACATCTTAAGAAATCGGTATTGGAGGTCAAGATTGTATCAATAAGTTTGAATTGTATCAGTAAGCTTTGTTGAAACCAGTGTTTCCTTTCTGTCCACTGAAGAGGTTTGTTGAATACAGAATTAAGCATTTTTCCCCAGGTATGCTTTCCCACTGAACACATATTACCCTCAGAGATTTGAACAAGATTCTTTCTTTGAATAAAATTTATTAGCTTTCAGATGACCTTTCCATCCCCTATTTTCTCCATGGGTGCACTGTTAGGCAGCTTGAGACAAATGTAATTTCTGTTTGATAGTATCTTTAAGCTTCATTAATTCTTGGAACAGCGTACTTCATGTCTGGATGAGTGTGGCACAGAGAATACAAGAACCAAAGTCGGTTTTCTAACAGACTGGAGGCTTTGGGCTCATCAGAAAGCAGCGCTTCTACACTATGATTATGCAGTGATTAAGCTCTATTCTCAGTTATACTTTAGACAAATATATTCCCTATTAAAATACTTAAATATTTCATTAAAATATTTACATTTTCTCTCACTGATGTGATAAACTCAGTATTGTGTGGCATTCTAAAATTCTAAATTTTCATTGTTTATGAAAAAGATCTGTGAAAATGTTGAAAGGTAAATTTTGGCAAACCAGTGGAACCTATTTAAAAGCAAACCAAAAGTGTGCTTCTCTGTATGTTGGGAAATATTGCCAAAGTAATTTGTTTTCCTTTCTGTATTAGGCTTGTTTTATAAAGCATACTTATCAAAGCCTTCTATCAAAACACAGAATACTTTCAAATAAATAACATCACAAGATTTAGCCATATTTATTTAAATTAGACGTCTTTCCAAACCACATTACAGAAATCTCCTTTGTCGCCCTTAGGCAAAAGTCTGGATGAACAGTATGGAATATGCCTACAATGTTCTTTGAAGGCCAAAGCCTTTTTTGAAGAAGCGGATATGTAACAGGAGAAATGAGCCAGGAGTGTGGTGGTCCTACAGAGTGATGAGAGAACTGATTCTCTCATTCTTAAGAATAGGGAGAGGGTACAAGGTCACAGTCATTATGTCAGCTATACTGCTGAGATGTGTGTCAAAACAGAGACACAGAAATCCTAGCAAAAATTCTAAGCCACGTCATTTCTAGGAAATTTTTTAACAGTGAACTGAAGTCTCAAGGGAATAGTTTCTAAATTTTCTTACCTCATTCCTGTGGATTCTGCTCAGCAGCATCTTTTTTTTTTTTGCAAAGGAGAGGGAAGAGAAGCTCTTTCATGATGCTGAGCTGAAGGTCCCAGCTGTACAGCCATTTACACTTTTACTCCACCGTATCACTGTGATAAAGTCTTGCCTTTACTCAGTGATGTTAACCATATGATTAGCTTTGTTCTTGTAGTATATATAGGATCAGGTCCTAAAGAAGCCTGTTTGCTGTGAGGGATACTTTCAAGTATTTCTTTTGGCTGAAGCTTTCTATAGGGAGGCTGCTTGTGGAGCCTGAGTACTTGAAGTTGGGTGTAATTAAACCACTGATATGGCTGTGCAACAAAAAGGTATTCAGATACACTACACATTGAGCAACCTCTCATAGAAAGCTAACATGATTTGATGCTAAATATTTTACTAGTTTTTAAGCCCTCTTTGAATACTTTGATTTTTTTTTTTTCTAGTCTGCTAGAATCCAGGCAGATACAAATTCAGTTTTACAGAACAACTTCTTGAAAGTATGAAGGCCATTACAACAAAAGTGCATGCACACACATGAATTCCCTTTCCCCCTTTACTTAATAAAAGTGTATAGGTACTAGCCACCAAAAGGTAAGAGACAATGCTAAATTTAATTATGTAAATAATCTCAGGAGTTAAATTTAGTTTTGTATGGTTTTTCTGTTGCTTGTAACTATCCTGTTAAAGAAAATTAAAATTAATGTATGTAGCTTCCTACAAAAGAAATTTTAGAACATTTTACTCTCTGAATTTAAAATGGAGTTTATTTCAATGCAAAAACCTGGAACCATTGGCATTAGATTTTATGGGGGCAAGTTGGCAGTAAAACACATTTCCCATTATCTCAGTTGTTTAGCGGTATTACTTCCCCTTGATATGAATGCTCACATCCCATAAAATTAAGAAAGCTTTATAGCTTTAAGATGCAGTGGGTTAGGAGCTGGGTGCTTGCTGCATGTTCTCACATATTTCTTACACATCTCCCTTTCATATTTAGTTCTGTCTTATGGGGGCATTAAAGAAAGGAAGATTCAATACTGGAAAGAAAGGGTGGACACTCTGGCTTTCATCCAGCTGAATGAACACTTTAAGCATCCACTTCATAGGAAGCATTTAAGTAGTTCCGTGGATGTTTGGAAATATAAAACAGTAAGGCTTGATTCTGCCCCTAGTTCAAATAATTGGCAAAATTCCCATGGTGAAGAACTGGAAGCTAATTAGTGGGTAAAGTGAATATTATTGAGGGTTAAGTAAGCACTAAATATAACTCTTCTTGCTGCTTACCAAGTTGACACGAGAATATTTGCTGTCTGCAGAGCATGTCTGATAAAATCTTACAGAGAACTTGGACAAAGTCAAAACCACTCAAAAGTTTAATGATCAACAGAAGCTAGCTCTGAGAAATGAAAACACTGGAAGACAATGTTAAACAAGCCAATGTCAGTTTGCCTTTTATATATGGAATAAGTTGCAGGACTTAGACCTTCAGACTGAAGGAGAATCAGAGTTACAAAGCACAAACAGTAGTAAATAAATAAATGATAAAAATGAGTGTATGTCAGCTTTTCTCATGAGTTTTTCCTTATGACCTTGGAAACAATTGCTAAATACAAACTATGAAGGAGCAAACAAAACAAAGAACGCTTTGTTTTTGACAGGTTCCCACAATCATTATGGCATAATGTTAAAATAGTAAGTAAGTAAATAAATGCTAACTTTAATCAAACAATTAAAGTGGCACTTATACGCTCTCACCAAACCTAGAAAAGCCAAGCTGTTAGGTCTTGAAATCAAAATAATTTTGTGTTCATTTGAGACTAGTTAGAAGCAGAATCAAACTACTTGCTACCTCTGCTCTTTCTTAAGCATTGCGTGGACATCAGCACTTCTGTGAAAATGTTTAATCTTTTACTTGTGCTGGTGAACTCTTGTACTGCAACAGCAGTTTCCTTCGGGTTAATTTGGTCCCAATACAACGTCCTTTTCAGCCAATGGAGATAAACTTACTGGCATCAGTAGGGGATGTAAGTGCTACTGCAAGTGCTGACTTAAAGGGACACGGAGATTTTTAACAAAGGGTCCCTCACTCATATGAGGCACGTGCACGTGTTAAGTCAGGTCCTCAGGATCGAGGCATGTATGATGTCAATAGGGTGAGCTGGACTTCTCATCACAAAAGCCAGGGTTTACAGGAGAATTTAATAGTACACAGAACATTCACACCTATTTGGCACTAATCCCCATTCACACTCAGGAACTATGGCCACTGCTGTCTTCCTGGCTTTTCATTGTTAAAACACATAGGAATACCCTGGAATAAAATTACTGTCAGTTGGTATTCTGCATGGGTACCAAAGAAAGCACTGACAATCCAAGTGTAAGCCAGCTCACCTATTATTTTTCCTGGACAGTATGACAGTAGCAGGAGAGAACAAACTGTTCAAACAAACAAGACAGAATTCAAGTATTTCCCCACATATTTTTTGAGGACAGGTGTCAGGTGATATCATTCTCTATTTACCATTTCCCCTTCAGTTGTGCTTTTTTGCTATGAGCCCAGGCACTGCAAGATGTGTACCTACAGGAAAGGGAGAAGGATTCTGCCTCACAACTGAGCAGCAATAACCCTGACTGACTTAGAAGCCATGTAATACTATTTTTATGCCAATAAATTGAAATAGAGTGATAGCATAGATAAGTAATAAGCAAGGAATATGCTAGCTTAAGCTCAATGAAATATGTGTGTTAATTTTATGGCTTCTGAAGCAGAGGCAGATCACACCTGAGAGGACTTGGAGCATGGACAGACTTGGTGTGTGACAATCTTCATTAATAAAGTAGATATAGTCTAATCTTAAATATTCCTATAGCTGTGCTCCTATGGATTTGAATGGAGGACTGATTCTATGCTTTCTGTGAAAAACGATTGTCTGATTTTCCATATTTGATGCCTGATAAATGTTTTATAATATCAAAAATAATCAGATTTAAAGTAACCCTGAATTCAAATTAGGTCTATACATTAGGCTTTGTTTCTTACACACAGTGTAGTGTACATAATGTTTTAATTCAGCAGTGTTACTGAACAGTGTTGAATAAGCATAATGAATCAAGGCTAGTTAGGTTTTGCTCAATATGTGGCAGTACTGAAAGATAAAAAAATATTTACATCATGCTCAAGATTATTAAATACAAGACTGACAGGTTAGGAAAATTGCTGAATTTTTCATTGAACTGAGTTTAAAAAAGCAAATGAAAGTTGTGGTCCTGTGATATTACCTTGGTTGCTACGATGAAAACCAGGTCAAAATGGGAATAAACAGGGAAGAGCCATAAGAAAGAAGAAAAAGTGTGGCTAATCAGTATGATTATTTATTTTAGAAGCAAACCAGCAAGTAGAAAGTGTTTATGCAGAAAATATTCTTACCTGCCAAAGACGAGATATTAATAATTACTCCTCCATCGCCTCCATTTCCTTTTCTCATGTATTCTAGGCCGAGGTAGGTTCCTCTAATCACAGATGTCTGATATAGGAGGGAAAGGGATGATTATATTCAAAATATGTTTCTTTTCTGCTCCTAGAAACTGAATCTTGCTTTAGTCTTGGTACCTAGAACCTGTATTGCTTTACCAGTGATCTTATTGATACTTGGAAGATTATAATCACAGATGATGTTCAACAGTAATGCAACTCAATAACTTCAGAAGCACAACTGCAATGCATAGAAATAATAGCAGCTGAGAGTTTTGACCAGGGAAGGTCTACAGAATTATGAATCACGGAAAAGGAAATCTTCCCAAGTAGTATATGTGTATATATATATACATGCAGTATATACATCTGTATATGACTGAAACCTAATGGATAGTGGCTAGGTGTACTGGGAAGAAAAAAAAAAAAGCTTTTAAAATCAGGACATTAAGTATTTTTCTACCATTATCTAAATTCCCAAATCAAAATTGGAATGATTTAAAGACATGTATTACATTTCATTTTTATTAGCTGATAGTTTAGACATACATGTTATAAAAGATAAAGTAAAAGTCCTAATTCAAGTTTAGTTGCCCTTTCACTCTTACTGTTTTTAACAGGAATCAGATTTGGAAGACTGAATTTCCTGCTCTATTAATATTGCTTGTTCATTGCCCAAGTAACAAGAAGTTAAGCTGCCCATTGACAGAGATAAAACAATTTGAGATGTCATTACCAAGTTTGCTTTGAAATTTTGATAAAGAATCAGCTTTTTTCATTTTCTATAGTTGCAGCATTTTCTGTGATATTTTCAATATCAGTATATTTTCAGTATACCCATTTCCTGGAGTAATGTAAAAAAAAATCACCAAATATGAATAGTTCAAAATTAATTTTAAACTTTTCTTAAAAAAAAAATTCCCATAAAGAACTTTTTTGTTTTTCTCCAGAAAAGTTTTGTCTTAAGTGTCATACTGTTTAAAATGTTTTGATTAATGTCAAAAGAATGTTATTGATTAAATGTTCTTACAGAAACTTTCCAAAGAACTGTTTTCAGTGGATAATATAAAATGGTAACATTTGTAAAATATAAATATTAATTTTTAAAATAAAATGTAAAATTTGGTAAAGTACCAAACTAAATCTGATTTCTCTCGCAAGTCCTGGAAAGTTTCAGAGTCACTATAAATGTAGCCAAGATTATCACATGTAAATTTTGGAGGGTTTGTTGAAACCCAAGTTGTTTAATGCCCCGTAGCGTTGCTGTAAGGTATACTTATTCTGAACATAAACTCATTGGCAGCTCAACTGAAATTAGACTTGGACTTAAGGGTGGATGGCATTTTTAATATATACATATGATACATAGGCTGTACACAAGACATTTTAGAAAGGACGGGGTTAATGCTGTCTAGGGAGAGCAGGTGCAGGTCCTATCATGCCCTGGGGCAGTGGCTCAGCCTG